CTTAATAGGGTTTTTCCATGTAAACCAGTATAATGCAATTTTTTTTTTTTTACTTATGGGGATTTTTCCATGTATACCAGTATTATGCAACTTAATAGGGTTTTTTTCATGTAAACAGTATAATGCAACTTAATAGGGATTTTTTCCATGTAAACCAGTTATAATGCAACTTAATGGGATTTTTTCCATGTAAACCAGTATAATGGAAACTTAATAGGGGTTTTTCCATGTAAACCAGTATATATGCAACTTAATAGGGATTTTTCCATGTAAACCAGTATAATGCAACTTAATAGGTTTTTTTTTTTTTCATGTAAACCAATATAATGCAACTTAATAGGGTTTTTTTTTCATGTAAACCAGTATAATGCAACTTAATAGGGAGTTTTCCATGTAAACCAGTAATAATGCAACTTAATAGGGTGTTTTTACATGTAAACCAGTATAATGGAACTTAATAGGGATTTTTCCATGTAAACCAGGTATAATGCAACTTAATAGGGTTTTTTTTCATGTAAACCAGTATAATGCAACTTAATTGGGATTTTTCCATGTAAACCAGTATTATGCAACTTAATAGGGATTTTTCCATGTAAACCAGTATAATGCAACTTAATAGGGGTTTTTTCATGTAAACCAGCCAACTTAAATGTTTTTTTCAGAGTAAACTTAATAGGGTTTTTTCCATGTAAACCAGTATAATGCAACTTAATAGGGATTTTTCCATGTAAACCAGTATAATGCAACTTAATAGGGTTTTTTGGATTACCATGTATAAGGCAACTAAACACAGTATAATGCAACTTAATAGGGTTTTTTCCAATGTAAACCAGTACTAATAGGGCATAAAACTTAATAGGGATTTTTTCCATGTAAACCAGTACTTAATGCAACATATAATGCAACTTAGGGATTTTTCCATGTAAACCAGTATAATGCAACTTAATAGGGTTTTTTCCATGTAAACCCAGTATAATGCAACTTAATGGGGGATTTTTCCATGTAAACCAGTATAATGCAACTTAAATAGGGATTTTTCCATGTAAACCAGTATAATGCAACTTAATAGGATTTTTTCCATGTAAACCAGGATAATTGCAACTTAATAGGGAGTTTTTTACATGTAACCCAGTTATCATGCAACTTAATAGGGTTTTTTCCATGTGAAAACCAGTATTAATTGCCACTTAATAGGGATTTTTCCCATGTAAAAGTATAATGAACTTATAATAGGGATTGTTCCAGTAACCAGTATAAACCATGTAAATCAGTATAATGCCACTTATGGGTTTTTTTCATGGTAATACAGTATATGCAACCATAATGGGGATTATTCCATGTTAAACCATCTATAATGGAACTTAATATGAGTTTTTCATGTAAACCAGTATAATTGAATTTATAGGGGTTTTTACCTTAACACCAGTATAAAAGGATAACAGTGTAAAGGATATCAGGGCTTCAAATACTTCAGGGATTTCAAAAGAATGTTTTAAAGTATTTTAACAGTTTCAAGGATATATCAAGGATTTTTCAGCTAAATTTCGCTCATTAGATCTGTTCCGCAGTCTCAAATCGCCAATGGCTTCGGAGCCCAGTTCAAAGTTTCTATTTTAATTATTAATGTCAACTATTTAATAGTTGACATTAAGAGCACGCTACAACCTTGTGCTCTCATCCAAAATGGTAAAACATTGTGGTCATAATTGATACTTTTTATCATCAAAAAGAGTAAGAGTAAAATTTTATGGAAAGACATTAGAAAACATGGTACCTTTTAATATTTGAGTGGCATGGTGACGCAGCGAGTCGAGCTTATGCTTCACAGCAAGAAGGTCCTGGGTTTGATTCCACCTCCAGGCATTTCTGTGTGGAGTTTGCATGTTCTCCCCATGTGTGCATAGGTTTCCGCCAGGTGCTCCGTTTCCCCCTACCACTAAAAACATGTACAATAGGTCTGAATGTAATGAGTGAGTGAATGGATGGTGTTGATTGGAGGCATTGATGCACCGGTGTGTTTGGCGTCTCACTTCTGTCATCACAGTGTGGAGAGAATCGAACAATTGTAAAGCGTTTTGGGTGACTTTGGTCTGTAAAATGCGCTTTATAAATATTGATTACTTACTTACTTACTTTAAAGCCAGAAACAAGTTACATGGATTTTATCGGGCTAGTCCCTGTAGGAATATCCCAGCTGTAAATCCATTTTTTATGCATAGTTAAAGTTCAAAACACAATGTGGACATCCATAAAAGTAACGTTTGCCTTTTACATTGGGTTGACGTTTTTGAAATCCAATCCAGATGCAATGGGCCTGTGGGAGACCACTGCATGTCCTTTTGCTATATTCTAAAATCCATCTGTTTTGACAATCAACGTTGAGGCATTCACACAGTTATCCACTTCACATACTATCCCACTCCTCCAATCTACAATCATTTAGAGCTAAACCATCTCATTCTCAAATCTTTTGTATTTAGACAGTCTCCCCTGGCACACGCTGCAGTTTTAGAAAGCAGAACAAAGCTGCGTGCGTTAGCCGGGACAGAGCGCTCTTCTGAGGCCGTGCGGGACGTGCTCATCGCCGCTTGATGCTCACTTCACAGGCGCGCTTCTATTACCGCGTTTACAAAAGACCATATTCCGCGTCTTATTTACAGATTAATGTATTTTCCTTTGTGGCCAGTGCGTGGAGCGGTGCGCGTCTTATCAGATTTAAAAGCTAAATCGTGTAATCTGCCCACTTAAGGCCGCTAAATGAAAAGGATGCTGGTAAGTGATGAAAGCGGAGTGAGTAATATCCTCTCGTCGGAATGTATGCGGATTCTATTGCCTTTGAAAATGTCCATAAAGTGCTCAGTGATGTTTCATTCAGGCAAAGTGACCAAAGTCTGCTTTAATGTTGTGAGCGGAATGTGGAGCAGGGGGATGCCACAAGGATCTACAAATATTATATTTTGCCACTAGATTTTTTTGCTGTTCATATAAAGCAAATCATTAAAGTTGGGGTACCTAACTTGTTGTTTCATAGATGATGCATATGGTTGTAATCTTCAGTAAAAGTAAAACTGAAGATTTCACAAATTAAAATTACAAATCATCCCAGAAGAGAATCATTAAAGCATGGGGTACCTAACTTTCAAGGCTCTTTCTTACAAGTATGCACAAATAAATGAGATGTAGACAGCATGTTGTGGTCTGATCTGTTTACAACATACAAGACGCATTATGAAACAAAAAAAGTTTGGAAGGAAACCCAGCTTTAAATATAACCTAGACAGAGATGATCTTTGTAGATACATATGACACAGACTGACGACCATTTCAACAATCGATAGACTGATACACAATTATGTACACATGTGTGGTTTAGTAAACAATTCTCCTTAAGCAGTGATATGAACCTGTAATATCATAACTTGCCCTGGTAATTAGAGATCCACCGACAGGGTTTTTTTCGACCAATCATTACATCTTATAACATCTTGATGGGCCAATGCATTCTTTTTTTATATATTTTTTATATATATTATTGCATATATTTATATTACATTTTTGAACGTGTAACCTTTGATGATTCTTTGTGTTGGGCAAGTTACTTTGAAAAAGTAATTAGTTATAGTTACTATACTTCTCCCAAAAAGTAACTGAGTTACTAACTGAGTTACTCCACTATAAAAATAACCAGTAAAAGTAACTATTGCGTTACTTTTTCGTTTCTCGCCCCCGTAACCGAAGACAATACCATTGGAACTTGCCTTCATATAATCTGAATGGCCTGAAGTCAATCAGTTCTGGAACACTGTCTCTACGCGCCTTTCTGACGTCACACTCCGTGGTTTTTGATATGAAACTAAATGCTATTGAGCATTAAACTCTATTTGCTAGTCTCAATGCAAAAAAAAAAAACAATGTAATATGTAAAACAATATTTATCTTTTTCTACATTTATTAGCATTTTTTGTATTGAGTGTACTATGTGCACACTGTGGCTTCTGAAGTTCGCAATAATATTCGGTGTCTATTATATGTATTTAATTGAAATCTATATAAATGGGAGTCGGGGGGATTAAGGGGGTCGTGTGAAAGTCTGTGTGTGTATTTAAGTTGGTAAGGGTGGACCCATGGGAGGGAGGGGAGGAAAACTAAAAATGATTGCACGTTTATTCTCTGCTCTGCAACCATTGTCTTTCAAATATTTGATTAAAAAAACTTAAAACTTCTAATCTCTTCCACATTATTATTTTCACTTTTATTCATTATAGTATCTTGTTGTAAGTGCTCCATTGACCAAAGTAGGTGTTGTTCCCATGATCCTACCCTCGCATTCAATTCATAAGGAAGAAAAGTTGTTCCTGAGCAGGCATGTCCAACTCGGCCCGTAAGACCATTTTTAGTGGCCATTATCTCACTAACTTGCAGCATTGATGATAATGGGATACTAACGCATGTTATCCTTCATTTTAAACCTTAGTTTCTCAGTAAAATAACCATATAATTTAAATCTGTTCAAAAATGTCAACTAAACTAAAAAATGCCTAACTAGAAATAAAGTTAGGCAAAGCTGAATCTTCTTTAACTATGAAATATAAATGATATCTTTTTTGATATTTGGTCCAGTTTTGATTTAAACCAAACATACAAGAAAAAAAATTCCAAAGTAAAAAAAGATTGATTCGTCAAAATACAAAAATGTGTCAAAACAAAATAATGATAAAAATCAATCACTTCAATACTTTTGGCGCCAACCAGCACTTATTTTTTCAAACTTGGCCCGTGGAAAAAATGAGTTTGACCCCTGTCCTTGAGTGACAGCATGACCCCCTCTTCAGTCTTCTCACTCCCAGTGCTTTCTCCCTTTTTGAATGTAATGAAAACAGTGATCTGTTTGAATCTCTGTGAATGAAGAATCCACTGAATCATGCAGAACTGTGAAGTGCCCGTGGAGACTTTGTAGGACACTTGCTGATATTTTATATATTTTGTTCTATGTTTTCCAGGACGCTGCTCGCAGAAGTCTAATAGATAAAATACACATGGTGCAAGAAGTGGTGCTGGCCGTCCAGAACGTTCTGGAAGAGATCGCAAACATCGGAGAAAGGGTCAAAAAGTATGGCAGCAATATTGTATAGAAATAGCAAAAGATTATTGCCATTTGCAGTGAAACCACATTGGAATACATGTGCTAAAGTACCCCATTGTGCACCAGACATACTGTTGACTGTCTAGGTTTTTATGAGTGCAAATAAATTTCCCTATTCCTGTATGTTTTATGAATGGTCAGAACTTTCAACATCAATACCAACTACAAGAACGCAGATACGTCTAAGGAAACTAAGTGGGGACATACATATAAGGGAGAACCATGAAAAAATGAAATTAAGTGATTCTTTATTAAAACTTTGATCCTTTATTACAAAAATGCCAAAATATTGAATGTGATCTATTTTTGTATCAGACCTTAGGTCTGTTTATAGTGAAGGAATTGTCCGCTGTGCATTCAGAATATATTTCCCCCTATACATTAATTATGTGTGTGTTTGTTTTGCAGTATATTCAACTGGTCCGTGCCGTTTGTGTCGTGCCTGGCCTGCCTGGTTCTGTTTGTGGCAACAGCTCTGCTCTACTTCATCCCTCTCCGGTACCTCGTGCTCATGTGGGGTAAGCCTCTTTGTCTACGTAAACCTGGATAACTTCATATGGAGCAGACAGCTGTCTCGGGAAGATGTGGTGGTGGTAATTTCATAAATACCAAACAGACTAGATGGACAATGCTAACTCGCTAGCTCAATGACGCCCAGCAGGGAAGTTTTGCTTCAAACCGCTTTGGCTCCTTATGACCCTTACTTTAGGGCTCTCAATGATCCTGCTTGTTTTTTATTTAATATAATGTTTGTAAATCAAGATTTGAGCCCTAACAAATGAAGTCCAGTTTATTTCTGCCCTTTAGTTGGTGAGTAGGTGATGGGGGGGATACAGACCCGCGCCACTCCTACCTCTTGGTTGCTTGGTCGTTGCTACCCATAATTAGCAAACATTTAGCTTCAGATGAATGAACTTCTTCCGCAATAAAGCAAATACAAAAGTATCGCCAGCCCTTGGGCAGGCCATGCCTTCTACGGCCTTTGATAAATACATCATCAAGTTCCAATTGGTTTGCCGATTAAATTAGATCAGTAGGCGGCCAAGATTTCACACATTTTGTAAGTCATTTATTTGATATCAGTAGAAGTTACTGTTATCGCCATTGAAGCAACTTCAGCTTCAGCAAACGTACTATTCTCAAGTCTGTTTTGCAATTCATACACTGGCTAGCTTGTCAAACATAGGTATGTTCATTAGCATATTTGGCGAATGATCACAGCACAGGATCTTAAAAAAGGCTTTGGTTTAAAAAAATCCAAATCAGCCGTTCTATATCATTTATTTACATAAAGTTAAAGACCTAAACAGGAAGGAGTTTGCTTTAATAACTACATTTATTTGCTTTTCAAATTGAAGAGCAGAGGGACATGTTCACCTTCTGAAAATGGGCCATATGTTATAGAGTATCACCATATAGCAAACAAAAGAACAATATGTCTTCCTATTTATCCGCAGAGACAACTAGTGACACGTTTTTGACGATCGTATCTCTCACGCTACCAGCATAACTATTTGTACTTTGGCTCCATCTATGGCCACTTCACCCCTCTGCCCTTTCCCAAACTTCTTCACCACTGTGCATTGCGATAAACTCTGCTGATAATGAGACAGCTGCAGCTCAGTGTGGGCCAGCGAAAACAAAGCTTGCACGCATGTCCTTGGGCATCGGCGCACTCCCCCGGTCCTCACTCTCATTATCCAGCACCGCCATAACCGTCTCGGCGGTCAGAAACTCCTCCACGTCCTCCAGCTAGCAGCCGATCGATAGCTAAACACATGCTATCAAAGGCGCTCCTGTTAACCCCGTCCCCGCAGCGAGGAGGAGAGCCTTTCAAGCCCCCGGCAAGCACACCGAGGTCCCTATAGTTGTGCGCTCTGCGAGGGGATGTGCAACAGCAACGCTCCCCAAACACTCCAAAGTAAATATAGTCAGAGTGGAAGAAAGAGGAGCCAGAAAGTTGGACTGTATTCTGCACTATATGTGTCTTTAAAGAAAAAAAGAGAGGGTGCTATTGTTTTCAATGTAGCGATAATATACCTTCTGTGTGACGCAGCTCAATCCTCCAGGCCAGGCCAAAAAAATAAAATGATCAAAATGCATACAGGACAGTGGGTTGAGCATGGCGGCAAAAAAATGAGGCATTCAGCAGAAAATAAATGAAAACGAAAAAGATTTCAATCACTTGTGATGACCGTCATCGTCCTCTATGTAAAAGAAATCTGAAGCATGTTGTACGCTTTTTTGTTTCTCATTTACACACAGATTCATTTATTTGTCTTTTGCAGTAAAACCACATTGGAATACATCCGCAAAAGTCCCAATGTGCACGAGACAAGGCCACAAATAAAACAAGGTTAAAAGTACAGAAATAACAGAAATGCTCTGTTTAAACCGATAACAGCTTGTGGAAAGAAGCTGTTAGCATATCGAGATGTCCTTCATCTCAGCGAACGACATCTTCTGCCAAAGGGAAGAAGCTGGAACATGGCTTTTCTTGGGTGGCCAAAAGGGTTAGGGTTGATTATTCCAAGAGCTCGGTTTAAAAGCAACCAGTATGTGCCATCAGTCCCTCCCACCACCACCAACTATTTACACACACAACAGACTCATTCTAGACAATGTGGGTGAAGTGTCTTGCCTAAGGACACAACCGCTGTTTGGCACTTTGCAGCCGCCTCACTGTGTCACTTGGTGTTCCCAGAGGTTTCCCATCACAGTACTAACCAGGCCCTGCCCTGCTTAGCTTCAGAGGTCTGACAGGATCTGGTTTTGGCATGCGAGTATGGCCACATTATTTATTATTGAATATTCTGTCATTGAATATTCTGAATTAATGCTTTTAAAGACATTTATCTGAGTTTATGTATGGTAAAACAAACACTGTGCGGATGTAGTCTCCTTTTCTCTCAAAAACGGCTTTAGGATGGTTATAAAGTCGGCTCTTGGCCCAACGCTACTTTCCAGATGCGTGTAAAGGCTGAGGGGAGTTTTTTTTTTTGGACCAGTCTAGTTTAGCCGTTGTGGACTTCAGAATGCACCCGTTAAATGAATGGGGCTAGTGCCAACTAACGCATGCGTATATGCGTTTTTTACAAATTTTCCTGCCCCCACGGCCATTTTAAAAAGCCCCACAGAAGGCAAAAGTGGTGGTTCATTAGTTTCAACAGTGGAGATGAAGACTTTTTAGTAACATGTGACATCATTCATATAATATCTATATAACTTGTTGTCAAATAATGCCGCATGACCTGATCAAAGGTTTACACTCAGGTATGGCATCACCTGCATGGAAAGCCTGGAGTTAAGCATGGCATGGCCTGGTTAGTACTTTGATGGGAGACCTCTGGGAACACCAAGTGCCACAGTGGTAAATAAAGGAAAGTGCCAAACCATAGCTGTGTTCACAGGCAAGACACTTCACTCACATTGCCCAGAATGAGTGGTGGTGGGATAAGCTAATGGCACAGATGAACTGCATTGTTCGATCACTATGCCCCAGGGCAGCTGTAGCTATAATAGTAGTTTAGCACCAGATTAAATAAATAATAAGGCTATGTGAAGCATCTTTGGATGTTATGAAAAGCGTTACATAACAAATATGATGCATTACTTTAAGGTTTGAATGATAAAAAGAAACACCCTTGACAAAATGGCCTCTTGACTAATCTACCATCTCTCATATTATCTGACAAATGTTCATATCAAAGGTTTATCAAGGGTCTGTAAACAGAGTTAATCTGTATTTTTAGTTTTGTTTAAAGATGCATATACAGAACAATCTACATAATGGAATTAAATACCTGTCTATTTCCATACGGCCATATCTAACGTTACTTCAGGATTTCATTAATCCAAACATTATCAAAAGTTCTTGCCAAAGGGCACAATGAGCATTGTGTGCCAGGGGAATACTTCTGTGTGAGTGGGTGCATATGCAAACTCTAAGGTCCCGATGGATTCAACTTGTATTTTAAACTATGACATAACAGTGACTGCCCACTGGAAACTCACACAGTCACAGCTGATTGGGATGACTGTATGTAGGACTCACTGTTACGATCGTTACCACCACCACTCCGCATACAGCAGTGTATTTTTACCCTGACAGTGTGCACCCTCCGCTCGCCTCATCTGAATATTTGGGTGTAAAAATAAGCCGCTGACTGGGACACCTTTATTTATTAATGCGCTCTTGTTTTCACAGGCGTTAACAAATTTACCAAGAAGCTGCGCAATCCCCACACTATTGACAATAATGAAATACTGGATTTCCTCAAGAGGGTCCCTTCTGATGTTCAAAAGGTAAGGGTCCAATATTTTACATACAGACGGGAAGCAGAGGGAATTCCCAGAAGATGTCCGCATTATTTGCTGTAGCGCAATTCCCAAGTGTTGCCGGAATATATCCCCCGGCTTTGTTTGATTATTAATGGATTCGACGCTCTGGCCCAATTATACACAGCATAGAATATAAGCGGTGATAGGTGTGTGGGGGGGGGGATGGGAAAAGGGGGTTCAGATCTCTCTGCTAGCATACTGCACCAGTCTGCTCAGTTTTAGTGCTACGCAGCCGTGGTCAGATGACATTAGTGGTTTTGTTTGTTTGTCAATTGTTTTAATGCATTGCTTTTTAAAAATAATCCATTGGCTCTGTATACTGCTTTTCAGGACACTCAAAGACGATTCACATGTCATTATTCATTCACTCCATACACGGTGATAAACTGCTATAGTAGCCACAGCGGCCCTGGGGAACATTGACGAAAGTGAGGCAATCAGTATGTGCCATCGGCCCCTCCGACTACTACCAACCATTCAGACACACACCAGACGCAATCTAGGCAATGTAGGTGTCTTGCCTAAAGACACAGCGGCAGTTTGGCACTTTACAGCCACAGCCGCCCCACTGTGGCACCTGAGGTCTTTCATCACGGAACTCACCCTGCCCTGCTTAGCGTCAGAGGTCTGACATGATCTTGCTTTCACATGCAGGCTTTATTCAAACTCTCTTCAGTAACTTTTCCAAAAAAGTAACTTTAACACGGGGGGTAATCAATTTCAAAGTTACACACATAAATCGTAAGAGGTTATTAATGGGAACTAAAGATAAGATAATATAAACATAGACAAATGTACTTGTCACATTTGGCATAGATTGGATCACTCAGATTGTGAAAAAGACAGAAGTGTGCAAACATGTTACGGTTAGAAATAAAGTCTGTGCAGGATATATTTGTTTTGTTTTTTTCTTGTGGTTTGAAAATTAGGTACCCCGGCTTTAATGCATGATTGTATTGTCTGTTTTTCATGTGACACTTTAAGACACTTTTTCCCTTTTATTTTCCCCTTCTGTTATAAAATTGTAAATAAAGGGCAAATCATAAATTGTAGATAGAGTATGACATACTAGTAAAAGAAATGAAAACCAAAATAAACACATTTAAATAGACAACAATTTGGATTTGATACTTTGGATTATTTTAGTTTGAATAATGATGGTGAACAATTAGATTTGACTTAATTATGTATGTATAAGTTTTTGTAAAATACATGTACACTCAGGGTTCTAGAAATATGATCTTTAGATGGTAAACATGAAACATGAGCATCATCTTCTGAGAAAACGGTTTGAACCTGTGTTGAATCAGTGGGAAATGGAGGCATAATCATGAATAATAACAACAATAAAAATCATAATCATAATAATAAACACATAAACATATTTTATTAAATAATTTCTGATACATTTTGAGATCTTAAATGCAAAACATTTCAACAAAGATCCCCAAAAATGTTCTTTGAGGTGAGGGGAAACATCTTCATTACAAACCTATCACTACATTCAACACAAGTTTGCATTAGTCCACGTGGTGCAGGACTCAGGCTGCTGAACGAGGGCAGACCTGATGCAGGACTGAGGCAGCTCCCAGGCGGGGAGGGGAAGAGAAACGTTTTGGAAGTGGGACTTTGTCAGGCAAATGTTTTTTTCTTTTTTCGTTATGAGAAGTAATTCTAAATAGGGTGTAGCTGCCAAGTCACTCAAAAAGTGTATATTTCACATCACTGCGTCAGGCCATACTATTAATACAAATGGCACCATTAGAGGCCTCCTTGACTTCTTAATATCGGAATTGGTGAAAGACATTCAGAATTAGTGTAATAGATTCACTTGTTGGGTAAAAAGATCGACTAAATAGCTATCCCCCTCAATCTGCACACACACTGTCGTCATGGTGTGAGAAGTCTGGGCACCTCTGCAGCCTGTCCATTGGCTTTGGCGCGGCGCAGAGTGCGTTAATATGGACGCGCACCGGTGCCCGTGCTGGGTGCCATATGCGGTTGTTATTATTAACCGCGGCTCATGTGTCATTAGTGTTCGCATCACGGGAGCTGCTGTCGGGGCAGAGGCAGGTGGGGGGACAGGTTTGGACGTGTGGGCAGACGAAGGGGAGACCGGAGCAGGAAATGAAGTGCCACACACACGCGCACTATCAGGCGTCTCCGCGAGCGCAACGTGCTAGCAAAGGCGCTGTCACCTCAAAGCGGCACGGTGTATTCATCTTGTCAAAGCTTCAAAATATGAGGTAGAAAGAAGTCTGTTGCTTGTTGTGAGTCGCTGTGATGACTTTATGAGCAATTTCCACAGTCTTAGAGCACAGACAATGGAGGACTACTACATCCAAGAATCAACGGAAAAGTCATTGGACAAGGGACTTCTATATCCCTTGTGCTATCCTCGGGTCAAATTGTTCTGCCACAGTGATTAAAAATAACTTGAAATACATTTGTTTCAAGCTGAATTTTGGTTCAGTGGGACCTTCGAACAGGGCTGCCAAGGAAAGAATAAGTATAGTCTGTATTTCTAAATGGATTATAAAATATTACCAGATTCTCTCCTTCAGTCTTAGTCATGTGACACGGTTGCGTTAAAAAGTAAACAAATGTTCCTCGCTGCACACCCGTTCTTGATGAAGTACTAAAAACACGGTGTAAGAAGAATGATGTGGAGGAATGTATGAGGCACCTGTGGGAGTTTGATAAGAGACAAGATTGTGAATGGATTAACGCTGAAACCACAATGACCAGAAGAGCCAGGACCACGAGCGGAGCTGAGGCTAAAAGGCAATGGAATTTGGAGTTGGGTTCCCGGGCCCTGTTCTACAGGCTCCTGACGTAAGCCTTAGCGGCATCAGGATGGGTCAAATGCAGAGGATGAATTGCCCTACGGGGATCAATAAAGTGCACCTTTACCTCTAACGAGTCCTTCAGGCGCTTGTACGCATTATGATTTTATACAGTATCTTCTCCACCGCATTATTTCAGGTTGTCAAACATATTTAAAGGAAAAACTCCTGCACACTGTTTCTCTTTTTGAAGAATAAATGTATCATATACAATGTTTTGGTCTTGCTCTTCTCCTACGTACCTGTCGCATGCTCGACTCGGTGAGCAGAGTCCTTTTCAGATCGAAAACAGTTGCCATGTAAACAAGGCTTAATATTTATTAGTACACAAAGAAGAAAGCTCTTGGCCAGCAATCCATGGAATTATTTTGCATTGTAATAGTAGTTCAAGAAGTCATAAAATATTTTAAAGAACAAATATGATGCGTTATTCATGTTAAAGATGATCTCGGGAATATTTACTTTCTCTTTTCATGCTTTAGAATGTGATCTTGTTCTAGTGGTAGACGTCAAATATTGAAGTAAAAGCATTATGCTAAATTTAAATCTCAAGTTTACATGGCATGGTTTAGTCAAAGCCACACAATTGTAAAGTTTGTAAAAACTTTACAATATTTAGTCAGAATCAATCAATCAATCAATCAAAGAAGGAGCCAGAATGTGCTGATATTAGCTAAAACCCATTCCAGGTTTGTTTTTGATGAGGAAAAATGTAACATGGAACAATGTAAAATAATATTAAGATAATTATAATGTAATCAATGTTAGCCAATACATGAAATATATTATACATAATTCAATAATTATTATGTTAATTCTGGACTATAAGCCACAGCATTTTTCTCTTATTTTTTAGGCTGCTGCTCATAGTGAGGTTTTGCTTAATTATTTGTATTTTTTTTTTGGTCCTGGATCTATAGCCCGTCCGTCCGTGTGGAGCGGATCCCTTTATCAATGTGGACCTCCCCGTGGTTTCTCACTTTTCTCCTGGGTTTTAGAGTTTTTCCTTTGCCGATGCAGGTGGGTCTGTTAGACTGTTTGTGTCTAACAAGAAGGACTGTGGTGATGATCCAGGACAGAGGACACATGTATGGACATTTATCAGCATTCATGTCCACTGGTCTTTCCCTATGGGCCAATACCTATGTGTGCTATTATTGTTGTGTTTAACTGTTGATTCTCTGATCTGTAAGGAGCACCGGTAGATGTTGCTCCTTACTTCTCTGCTCCACACTGAACGATTAAGAACAGTCAGTGACTCCTTACTCTTATTACTCGCAGTGAGAAGACATGATAAAACATTTTGAGCTGCATTTTTAAATATTACAATGTGGGATAGGTGCGGCTTACAATCCGGTGTGGCTTGTGCACATACAAAATAGCCATAATCATCATCATCAACATTATGACACACAAAGGCTTATTGGCATTGAGTCCATGTAATATATTTTCCCATTTTTTTACAGAAATAAATACACATTTGAACGATATTCTAAATTTTGGAGTTTCAGCTATACATGTAAATACTGTAGACATACAGTATACTAAAGTATCATTATTACTCAAGTTATAGGGTACACAGACAGACACTGGACTGATGTATCGACAGTTTTTAGTGGAAAAAGAATTTCTTAAATCAAACGCCACAGTAATGTCTTTGCGCCTGGAGCAAGCGCACACACTCCCGTCACCCCAGTGTTTGAGCGCGGCCTGGCCTTCATGTCCCGCTCCTTCCCTGTTCCCTCGCCGTCCCCATCTCCCCACTCTGTGATGTCCGCTGCCTGGACTGCTGCAGATTTGGCTGACTGAGCGGGCAAAACAAGGTGCCCGCAACATTTTTGATTCTCCATCCTTTGTGCGTAGTCCTTCCCCAGTGGAATACGGGCTTTGAAAGAGATTCGCTTTCAAATTTTTGAGGGAGACAATTGTGTGTGTTTTTTTCTAAGCAGATTGAAGAGACGATCTAGAAAATAGCTCCAATGGTGGAAACAAGATACACACGGGCTAAAAATTGTGGTTGTGTGTGAAGAATCACCTGTGTGTGATACACAAGGGAGTGTGCGAGTTTGTGTGTGTGGACAAACATGGCACAAAGGCACAGACTGACTCTTGTCTTTCTCACAAATGTGACTTGGCAATTAGAGCCACAAAGAGCGCCTCAAACGGACTTGCGACGCGGCCCGCCTGTCCTGCGCATCCCAGCATCTGTCACTTCTGAGGCCAGCGTCGTGTTCTGATGCACGCTCGCTTTGTTCCCACGTCCCATCTCCCATTCTAATAATGGAGAGCGGCTAATTAGCATATAGCACCGCACCTTTATCCCACACACTCGCAACACTGCAGGCTTCAAACAGCACCCTCAAATCCTACCCCTCTGCCACTCTTCATATGATCAGCGTTTAGGAATTACAGCCACCATTTTATGGGGAAAAATGCACAGTTTAATCGTTTTTGAATGTCAAAGACGCACACTCTTTGTACACAAAGTCATGGGCATGAATAAATGCAACTCATTTTACCATTGTTTCTCCAGGGAAAAACAAAGTCGTAATGTTATATTTAGCAGAGAAAAAGCAGGAGACAGTAGGTCAGTGTGAGAAAGTTTACGTGAGAGGTAGAAGAAAGTTTTCACTGCTGTGTGCAGGTGGGCTGCGGCTCTCTTACAGTTGTGATGTGGCAGAGGCGTGGAGGGAGGGGGCAGCAGGACCCTGACTCCTCACATCCTCCTGCTGTGATTAATCCCCTCTGCTCCACAGTTTAAAACATGATTCATTAGGTTGTGTTGGGTTCTCTGGGCTCTCCTGGCTCAGTGCTTGTGTCTCCTCAGGGAGCCATTAACGCGCGCTCCGCTGAGCTCCACTTACCTGCTCTGACCACTCTGTTTGTTTGTACAGGTGCAGTACAGCAGTGCGAGGGCGCCCGCGGGAAGCAGCCAGCCGCAGAGGAGGAAGAAGTGAGGGCCACAGCACAGCGCGCGGCCCAGTGCCCACCTGACAGCCACGCACACACACACACACACACACACACACACACACACATACACACATACACACATACACACATACACACACACACAGGGCCTGGGCTGCTGCTCCCTGACACCGGCCTGACAGCAGCCTCTCTGAGCCCGCCCAGGCGCCACATGGTGCTGTCAATCATCCTGCTGCAGGGGAAGAGAACACATGCTTTACAAATGAAGACACTCCTCCTCCACACTTTACTTTTATTCCTGCTCTTCAATCAGAATTATGATGATGGTGAAATACCTGCACATAGACAAAGACAGATGCTCTTCAGTTTCATTTCTTGTTAGTAAAGTGACTTTGAGTGTTTTCAAAAGCGTTAACCATGTGTATTATTATTCTCCTGGACCATTTGTATAACTTGTAAATAGAGAAAGTACTGTTTACTGTTAATAATTTTATTAATAAAAATGAGAGAATTGAATTTCTATTATTAAAATGGTGCTAATTCTCTGCACTTATATCACATGCACACACATTTAAACATGATTCTTTCCTCTTCTTACACTACTCATGAATTTCCCTGCGCACACAACTCAGACCACCACATTATATCACATCCACAGCTATCATTCCATTTCCCACGACAAAAGGCTTTCTGCGTGACATCCAGAGGAGTTGTGTGAAGCGTTGCTTGGGGAGTGCGCGGGGCGGGGGGGTGCGCAGGGCGGCCCGTGTGCTGAAAGAGCATCCATCTGTGCTTTGTGAGGGGTTTGATTGGCTCACAGGGACCCGCTGGCGCCCCGGGCTATCTCTTCTGACAGCCTGATAGAGACATCACTGCGCTCTCCCAGGAGCTGCCACCAGGGGTCCGCTTCAAAGTGAGGTGACCCCGCGCTCCTGACGAGACAGCCGCGCACACTGGCACACACACGGCTACAGTCTTGGCTTCGCTGGAGCTCTGGAGGGGGGTTCGGAAGGGGTGGAGGGCTGCTTTTGGCTCAGCTCGGAGAGGGAGGGGACCGACAGTTCACCGGCAGGCCCAGATCAAGTGTCCCCAAACGGAGGAACCAATTAGGCAGCGCTCCCGGGACTCCCATGAAACATTTTAGTGAACAAAAGGAGCAGTCAAACTTTGTGTTCAAAATGAGTCTCATTAACTTAAGAGCGTGTTAACGAGACTGGAGGTATTTCAGGTGTTAAGTGGAATAGTCTTTATGAAGGCGCACCACATGTCTGAGGTCACAGGGGGCGCTGCCAGCTCTGGGACACACACACAGGTAGTAGTATCAGTAGTAGTAGCAGTAGTACCAGTTGCCGCAGTAGAGCAGTAGTAATAGTGGTAGTAGCATTATCAGTAGTAGTAGCAGCAGCAGTAGCAGTAATTGTAGTAGTAGTTACAGCAGCAGCAGTAGTAGTAGTGGTAGTAGCAGTATCAGTAGTAGTAGTAGTAGCAGTAGTAATAGTGGAAGTAGTAATAGTGGTAGTAGCAGTAATAGTAGTAGTAGCAGCAGTAGTAGTAGTAGCAGCAGTAGTAGTAGTAACAGGAATAGCAGTAGGGGTTGTCAGCCCCAGGGCAGGTCTGTCTCATAGACTTGTGTTTGACTGGTTGCTGCAGAAGTTGCCGACTCCTACATCCAGAGCCTCTGTTGTCACCAGGGGCAGTCTGATGCCAATAGTTCACCACGGGCAACTGGGGTTGTTTTTTCCACGACTGGATGCTCAAAGAAAATGGCGTACTTTTCCAGAGTGACCAGTGCCATAGAACGTTTCACACTGATCTTAAACTGAAAACTCATGTCTAGTCTAGACTCTATTAGGTGCACTGCTGGAAGGGTCAATTGAAGCATAAGTAACCAAAGAGATACCCCTTCTTAAAGAAATCAAAAAATAAACCAGCACTGTACAAGTCATTGGTGCTAAGTTATCTGTTGTACGGATCGAAGACATAGGCCATCGAGAAGAGCAGTAGCTGAGGCTGGAAGCAGGATAACTGGTAGACTAAAATGTTAAATGTTGAGTATTATTGCAAAAAGAAGAATTAAATGCTGGCTAAGAGTGAGGTTAATCGAGTATTAGAATGGAATGCAAAAAAAAAAATCATGATTGGAAAGCAAAAGGGGAAAAAACAAGAAGTTTGACAGCGGAAACAATGGATAATGCAAATGGAAGAAGACACAAAAAAGTCATTAATCAACTTTGAAAATCTGCCAAAGGAAAAATTGATGACATTTTTTGAAGCACTTATCCCTAATCCTAGCTAGCAAGTGAGGCCACTTTAAGATATCCAGGCCAAGTCCTGCACTAACCAGGCCCTCTCTCCCCCAGGTCGCTCCCCTTGTTCTGGGTAGAAGGCAGAAAAATCATCACTTTTCTGTACAAAATAGCTGATCTAACTTACAAACTCCATGCATGCAGTTTGTAAGTTTGCTACCCCAGCTTTAATTGACTGAAAGACCTGTGGCGTGAATAATTTTCTATTAAACTCTCTAAACGATGGACAATTGGACTTGTCTTTCAGTGTGAAATGTGTTTAGCGGTTGACTGGCGCACACCCAACATATTTAAGGACTTCTTTACCGCCGCCTTGTCCCTCGGGAGTGCAGCGTCAGCAGAGGGTGTCTGGGTGCGTCTGCTCCTTACTTTGGACAGAGATGTTTTACACACAGCTAATGAAGATTGGAGGCGCGCGCTGCTTGTGATCAGTGCGGCTCCGGTGGCTGTCGACTCGGAGACAGTGATCTCTTCATCAGGCTGTCATAATACGGGCCCCGGCGGCGAAGCGTCCCCAGAGCCTGTCACACGCCTTGTTTCCATGGCGCTCCTTCAGGCATCACCACAGGCACACGGAGCATACAGGCTGTTCTCTCCTCCAGCGCGCCTCTGATGTTCAGCCCCGGAGCGGCTATAGCGCGCACACAAACACAGCTCCACCACTGAGACGCCTCACATGCAACAACAAGCACGCATTTGAATAAAAAGCAACTTCCTCTGCAGGACGGTGGACACGTGCCGAGCATTCAGGTGAGCTGTCCGCAGAGGAGCGCAGGGAGTCTGAAGTGTGTGTGTGTGTGTGTGTGTGTGTGTGTGTGTGTGTGTGTGTGTGTGTGTGTGTGTATGTGCGCATTTCACAGCAAAATATCATTATATCCGGGGCCTCGAAAAGGTATTCAAATCCCATAATCTTCTCCGCATTTTGTCTCTTTATGATCACGTGTTTTTGTTTGATTTTTTTCGGTGACAGGCAGTGAAATGAAAGCAAATGGAAAAGTGTTGCTTACAAAAATGTTCACCCCCCTCTTATACTTTGAGGAACGCCGACTGCTTTGTTTCTCTTGCATATTATCCCATTCTATTTACAGAACAACGAAAGCTCCATCACATTAGATGGAGTGTGTTTGAGAATAGACTGGATTTAGGTCTGGACATTGTGTTCTAACACATTTATTTTAAACCATTCTATCATAGAAAAACTCTCAGCCAGGTTTTTGGCTGACTCCAGTAGCTTTTCTTTCAAGATTGTTCGGTATTTTCTCCACCCATCTTCCCATATACTCTGATTCTCATTGCTGTCTCTGCTGACGAAGAGCAGCCACAGATAATGAGTCTTCCACACCCAGAAAGAAGAGTGATGTTAGTTTTACACCTCACATACAAAAGTGTTTTTCTATTAGACCAAAACTTAAAATGTTTGACTCATCTGACCACAGTTTCTTATTCCACAAGTTCAATGCACATATTCCCTCAGAGCTGTGGATGTCTTCAGCTCCTCCAGAGAAACCATTGGCCTTATGACTTGTGGAAATTTTCTCAATAATTCATGGAAACAGAGTTGTATTTTGTGTGGTTTAATTAAAGTAAAAAGTACACAATGAGAAAAAGCATTGCAAATAAGAAAACTTCTGCAAGCCGCTCCTCAGACCCTACATCTGTGTCTGAAGCACAATGGGATTCACTCAAGCTTTATCACGCAGGAAAGTCATTCATTAGCCAGTTGCTACAAAAAGAAACACGTGCCACACCTCCACAACTGATCACATCAAATTAGGTAACTCAAGGAAGGAAGGCGAGAGAAAGGGGGGTCGAAGGTACAGGGACAGAGGACACAGGAAGAGGACATTTTCTGTTTAGACAAGGCAACCCTGAGTATCAGAAAGGCGCCTAAGAAATAAAATGTATTGTCATTGTCCCCATCCAAGGTGACTTCATCCACATGATAAGGGGAAAAGTCACATCAAAAGAGATGGTCAATCACTGTCTCAAATACCTTCTTGCCATAAAACAGAGCCCTCTAAACCATGTATGAACCATTACAATCACTCACTAAGGTTAAACCATGCTTTTGCAGCATTCTTCTTGTTCTTTGGCTGACTATTTGCAGTTGTGCCATTCTCCATACTCCCAGTCCTGGGTGATGGAACATTGCTCTGTGAGATGTTCAAATCTTGGGAAATGTTTGTATGACCTTAACACGCTTTACACTTCCCCATAACCTATCTGAAGGGCTACTTGGACTTCCTAATTCTGTTTACTGATAAATACACTCCAAACATAGCTCTTGACCATTCATCTCTCACCAGGAATCGTCAGCAGGCAATTGGTTCCCTCCGAGAAAATGGGGCTATTATGTTTGGAGAAAAACAAGTTATGTATGTTTTGGTTTAACTTCTTGAATGCCATTTGGTGTTGGTCTTCCAAAAAAAAAAATCTTCTTATCAGTGGTTCTGAGTTAGAAAATCAATATTGAGTGGAAACATTTTCACATTCTACAGTTACCAAAAATAGACTTTCACCTCACTGCAGACACACCTCAGCAGAAATGAGTGTGAACTTTTAAGCGCAGGTAAAATCCTGTTCACCTATCAATTTTCTTCCCGTTTGTCCATTTCTGGGTCAGGAGGGTTGCAATTAGCTGCCACCCAGTTCACAGAGCACCAGCAGCATGGCTGCTCTACATGTGAGACAATATAGCCTTGATAATTGAGCTGGGGCTTCAGGCAAAGTGGGGTTAAGTGTCTTGCCCAAGGACACAATGATAATCAGTGGGAGTCGATGGAGAAGTTCTCATGGTGGGCTCGAACCCACAATCTTTAGGCTCTAAGTGGCTCAACCAACTTAGCCACTGTCGCCCCAATATCTTGTTTAGATCTTTGATTGGTAGATACACCGAACAACACGAAGAACAAGGCTTTCATGTGTAGCTTACAATCATTCTATGACTTATGATTTTAAGTGGGGGCATCTATTTAATCTCCAGTTCAGAAAAACAGTGAGCCTTGTGTCAGAGCAGACACTGCCTGGAACAAATGTGGAAATCATACATCGTACGTTGTCCCTGTAGCTGGGGAACCTAACTTTCTCATAAATAAGACCTGTTGTTTGTCCCAACAGAAAGCAAGTAAAAGTAACATTTTGTGTGGATACCCAATCCAGATGGTTTTGGGGTGAGCTGGACCACAGAGTGAAGGTGAAAGGGCCAACAAGTGCTAAGCATCTCTCGGAACTCCTTCAAGACATTTGGAAGACCATTTCAGGTCACTACCTCTTGAAGCTCATCAAGAGAAAGCCAAGAGTGTGCGAAGCAGTAATCAGAGCAAAAGGTGCTACTTTGAAGAACCGAGAATATAAGACATATTTTCACTTGTTTCATACTTTTTTTTAAGTACGTACATAATTCCACATGAGTTAATTCATAGTTTTGATGTCTTCTGTGTGAATCTGCAATTTCATAGTCTTGAAAATAAAGAACCCTTTGAATGAGAAGATCTGTCCAAACTTTTGTCTGTACTATGTACCGTGAGTCATTATTTGACACATTGGATTGAGCACTGATTTACTGCGTGTGGGTGGTCCTTTATATTTCAGTGTTCTGTCTGAAAAAAATGATTGTTTAGAATTTCACTTTCTGTTTCTTTGACAAAAACCTCAACATCTATAAAGCAGGTACCCGAAAGGTTAGGGTTCGAAACTTTCCAAACTTATTTATGAGCACTATGATGTCATAGTGGTACAATGACATCACACTATTACAGGACGAAGAGAGGAGTTTTTAAACAGAAGGGGCGGAGCTACATGTTTGGGCTATACACACCCCAGGTCTGAGGGCACAAGGTTGTAACACAGTTCAACAAACAAAACAACTATGATTTTGCTTCATATGTTTAAAGGAGCAATACCTGTTTCTGGAAGGCTTTTCGCTTTGAAGTTTGAAGTTTAGCACCGCTCCTCATCTCGCTCACAGGTCTCTCATTTCCCTACGCTCTCCTCCCATAAAGCCATCTAGTTTTATTTGCCACCCGATACATATGCAAACCTTAGCATTAACGCAACTTCTTGTAAGCTGCACAACAATCACTGATGAAATGGTACAAAAACAACGCACAGCTAACAAAATATGTGGTCCGAGGCGGTCCCACTCCCGTAGGTCTCTCAGGAGTATACAATGTTCACCCGGGCTTGATTCCCCAATTGATGATTTTTTCGCTTTAGTTCCATCTTCTCTTCCTCACTGTTGCATCGTTTGGGGTCTTTTGCTGTGTCTGCAGTTACAGTAGAGCCAGAATAGTACTTTCTGCTAACATGCTGCTGTCTTTACATGCGCTGCAGACGCTAGAGCACGCGGCCTGTTCGTAACAGCGCTGCTCCTCTGATTGGAGGAGAGCTAGCGTCATGTAAGTTTCTACTCAGCACTTTTTACGGCCTGAATTCATACACAAACTGAATCAATGAGTTCAAGTTTTCATTGAAATTACGGATTTGAATACAACTTGTATGTAGTAATAAGTATTTTTATGAACTCATTAGAAAATAAATCGGTTATAGCTTCTTTATGCAATACAAAGCGTCGTGATATATTGATGATCTTTTTTTTCTTCACAAAAATATAACTGTATGAAAAGCCTTGCTCTCACACACTCACAGTTGGACTAATGTCGGGTCGGATGCAAGGGCACAAGGGCAGCCGGACTGTGGCTAACGGCGCTCCGGAACATTCCCTAATAGACCCTGTTTTCGGCTGCTATACACCGTGCTAATAATTCATCCATGTAGCCGCGGTAAGACGTGGCCATGGTCGTATAGCTCTTTATAGCATCCACAAAAGATAAATTAAATCACTGGCCCTTAAAAGCATCTCTCAGAGGGGCCCAACCCATTAGCACATTCAACAAATTCACATTAATATTATTCCGAGGGCGTTATTACAACAGCTGTGATGGGTGCGTGCGCGTGTTAGCGTGTCATCGCGGGGCCACCGTTGAAAGGTTGGGGTCTCGCAATTCCAGGTGCGCATTGACAGTCGTGTTGGGATCGGCTAACACAGCTCTGATCGCCGCCACGGTGAAAGACAGAGGCCACCCATTCTGTCAGAACACCATGCGTGACCATACTGCTCAGATTTTCAATAATACAAACTGGGGCGTGCAATACTGTGGGATTTTTTTTTGCAATTCAGCAAAATTTGTGGTATTTATAGATAGATTATCTAAACTTTAGTTTTTGTATGTGGAATAATGTGTGGAAAAAAGTGCTGAAAGGATAGGGAATCGGTCTGGAATAGAGAGACACTTCATAGTGGTAGAAGTAGGACATTACTTTGTGATTTCACATCTGATACGGCACAATCTGAATATATGCAGTCTTTTGAGAGGAGAAATTATAAATAAAATGCAGATATAGATTTTTATCACTAAAATTGCACTTCCCCTCTTTTATTTGGGTACACATATATCTACGTTTCAAATGATCCCACCTTTTCATTAGTTACCAAAAACAGCGGAATCATTTCCCCACTGAGGGTCAAGGTCAAAGGTTATTGTATCTATTTCATCTTAAATATTTGCACTTGTAGAACAGACAGAGATGGAAACCTTCAAGCCTTAGTGCTTT